TGTCCACAAGATGTCTATAGATGTGGCTTTCATAGATTGAGGAATATCCGCCCCAAACAATGGATCATTTATAACACCCGAGAAACCACTCTGAATGGGAAATGTACTGTGAACCCAGAACTGAAACTAATGTATGAGTCGGTCTAGGTTTTTCTCAAATGTTTTCTAAGGAGCATGGGTCAAAGAACATGACCTAAGAAAAAACGGCTTCTTGACACTGATGTTATAAATGCTCCATGCCCTGTCCCCCTCTGGAGAGCCACAAGGCTCTAAAAACTTGGACAGTAAAGATATGCGTTTATTTTTGTTTAACTCAGTGTTTCTCAAAGTTAGTGCATTCAGAGTTTCCCTTTCTTTCTTTATTTTATTTTATTTCTGATATGAAGTCTTGCTCTGTTGGCTAGGCTGGAGTGCAGTGGTGCAATCTCCGCTCACTGCAACCTCTGCCTCCCGGGCTCAAGCAATTCTCCTGCCTCAGCCTGCCGACTAGTTGGGATTACATGTGCAAGCCATCATGCCCAGCTAATTTTTTTTGTTGTTGTATTTTTAGAAGAGATGGGGTGTCATCATGTTGGCAGGCTGGTCCTCAAACTCCTGACCTCAGGTGATCCACCCTCCTTGACCTCCCAAAGTGCCAGGATTACAGGCGTGAGCCACCACGCTTGGCCTTCCCTTTTATTTATTATGACTCTCAACATCTCACACAGTTAGTTTCAGATAACTTTACTTTGAGCTTCTTAGAGCTTCATTCATTGCATCTTACTTAGAGCAAGGACCAATAGGAGGAGGTTGTAAGAAGACATTGCTGTTCCTCAGACTGAGCTGAAAGTAAACAGTTGGGGCTGCTTAAAGGTAGCGTGTGCTTCCTGGGAAGGTGGTGTTGCTCCTGGGCCCCTCGAGCTTCTGGGAGGGATGGTGTGTCTCAGTTACAAGGAGGGGCTGGATCATGGAGATTCTGCTATTTTAAAACTTTTGATTAAATAAACAAAATAACCCTTCCGTTTTGCTGACTTGCATGTAAACCATGCAGGTATAGAGGCCACTTGTCCCAGTTTACCCCAGATGCTGCTGGTTTTAATTTGGAATGTCCTGCTTTTGAAGAATCCCTCCACCCAGAGCAAACTGGGATGGTTGATTCCAGCGAACACCCCAAAATTACAGGAAAAAGTAAAAGTGCTTTTCATTATGCATGCGTATCAAGTCATTCTGAAATGGTTTCATGGGGAGGACCATATTTTGCCTACGCAAAAGGCAGTTCTTGTACATTGCAATGCTATTGGGAATCGAATCTTCACTGGGGAATTATTATTTAGGGACATGAATTTTCTGGAGCTTCTTTTATTAAATACCTTTTTAGTCTCCTATTTGTGGCTACTTCATATTTCTCTATCAGAACATGAGTTTGTTACATCAAGCAGTTACAGATTCCTTTCCTTTTCTCTGAGCTGCATTGTTTTTCTTGTGTGGTAGCGAGACAAAATACTGTTCTTTAGTTCAATTAATGAGTGATTTCATGAAGTTAACGTTAACTTCGAATGAGCATTATATCAATGTCTCTGTTGCTTTTGAGCCATGGGTTGTGGCTGAAATACATTTACATCTGAAATGCTAGGGGAATAATATTACATTTATTGCTGATCAATTCTCCAACCTCAGGCGAGTTATTTCTGCAAAGGATTGAAGATACCAAAAATCTCATTGTTGTAATATTGTGTGTTGCCAAGTTCTGCCACTAGGGAGCAGTATCATCTATCAATTCACTCTGGCCCTGCGCTTTGCAGAGTCTGGATGAATGAGATGTTAGTTACGGAATGAGAGGGAGAGTTTGCAGAATGCATTTTACACACTAGCCAACACAGAAAACCCTGGCAACATTACCATAGTGGAATAAACCTTGGCTTTGGTCTTGTGACTACTTGCCGATGGCCTTGAGCAAGCCACTTCCCTTGCTAAGCTTCCTTATGCAAAATGAGTGAATTGACCCAGATTAAACTCATTTCTGATTCTAATTTCTTCAGCATCTAAACTCGTCTAAAAGCAAACTAGTATAAAGGTCTTTTGATGGCATTTTGTGGAATTCTACTTTGCTTCATTTCAATCAGCTCATGTTTCTGGATATACATGTTCACTAGCCTATGCATAATTCTCTCTCTTTTTTTTTTCTGTTCTTGGAGGTTTATTGTATTTCTTTATAAATTCATTCTTGTATATGGTATGCTTGTCACTTCAAAGGAAATTGGCTTAGAGTTTGTGCTTGGTTCACATCTACAGCAAAGAGAAAATGCAGTTTAGCTTCCTTTATTCTCAGCTTTGGTTTCTCTAGGAAAAGAAGCTACATTATATTTGAAAATTATAGCTATCCCTGTCTGAAAATAAGATGATTTCTTCCGGATCAGCAGTTAATGCTAGTGGTTCATCACACATAACTTATATTGTAAATACTTTGCTGCCAAATAAACTTTTATCCATTTTTTAGGAATGAAAAACAAAAAGTCAAGCTTAGGGAAGATAAGTTCATGAAATCTGACAGTTTCCAGATAATGTCAGAATATGATTGCAAGAAAAATGACATAAAATGTACATTAACATAAATCTATAACTGCTCAACTTGATGAAAAATATCACCATAAAATTCTGCCACTACTGAAACAACCGATATGTTTTTTTCTGTGACATTTTGTGAGAGTGAATAAATTATCTGAGAATGTGTTTGCATCAAAAATACAGAATTTTGTAATAAACACATAAATCATCCAAGCATTTTTTCAGCAAGATGCCTGATCCTAAAATGGAGGGCATTCATATTAATTTTCCCCCTTCCAGCCTCGTTCTAGATATGGTACCTTAGGGCTCTGCATGGTGATGGGGAACCATCAGTTACAGAGGTGAAGGGGAGGATGATGTAAAAAAAATAACTCGTTTTGAAGAAGTCTTCTATCCCAACCTGCCCCACCCCAAAAGCCTCAACGTCTCTGATCCTTTTGCATTCACTGAAGTCCTCTTTGTAGTTGTGGTCTCAGCTTACACTGGAGTCTGCTTTACAAAATGCTCATATTTTTGTAGTCATGGGACTCATATATCAGCCAACATTTGCTGTAAAACAGACACAGCACTAACTTTATCCTGAAAGATATGTTTTTGTTGCTTTCCCTGAGGAACTGGTTTGTTTTTTGTAATGGGAAATTCATATCATGTAAGAAAGCTTGATTCCCTTTTTGCTTAGACTACCAGGTAGCTCAGAGACAAATTCACAGTTTAACCGTAATAGAATTTAGTGATGTGTGCCTGAGAATTTTACATTTTATCTTCATTTTAATTATGTCCTCTATCTAGATTTTCTTCTGTTTCATTGTTCAAGCTTTTATTAACTAATATCTTTGTGAACTGAAGCAAAGGGTAAACACACAGATAGGTAAACAGACATACTGATATGTGAAATAATGGTCAAATAAATTTCTGCAGCCAAAGAAATGAGGGTGGATGCCCATAGTGAACTATAATTAAGGCGGCAATTGTGAAGTTCATTTCTCGTCTGATTTCTCTCCAGGACTCATTTCTCAATGAATGCCTACAAAGTATATGATTATGACTGAGGCCATTTGTGTATCAGATGATCCTGGTCTGGTCTGTGATTCCTCTATGCTTCCCATCCCTTTCTCTGTTAAGAAGAGTGAAAATACTTCTTCTATGTTAATTCACCAGCTGTTCTTTCTCTTTAAAGAAAAGGAGAAGAAGGACTCAGAAAGATTAGGTCTCTTACTTGAGGTCACACAGCCAGGGAGCGTGCCTTCGGTTTCAGCTCCTCTCCGTGCTCTTTCCACTGAGCTGGCGCTTCCTGCTGAGTGTCTTCCATCTGCCCTCCAGAACCTCCCTCTGCCTTCACCCTGCTCTACCCTGCTCTCTGCCTGGGGCACTGACCAGTAGGGACACACAGGGACTGCCCTGTCCTCTCATTTCTAGTTAGGTGTAGCCATTGGGAAGCCCAAGCAAGAGGTCACAGAGAGGCTGGAGAGAGAGGTCAGGCATTTACTCCCTTGACCTCCTCCCCAAGAAGTCTATTTGGGCTGGTGGCATCCAGTGATCACTGCTCCTCTCAGGGTGGTGTGTTCCTTGCAGTTTTCAGTAACTGTCTCCTGATCCCTTTGCACCTAGGGGTAGGGCCAGTCCCGCTGCTGTTAGCCGTGTTCTGGCACCATTCCTTCTTCTCCCTATACTGCACACACCTGGTAAATAGTTCCTTGGGCATACATTTCCTTAAATTATCCTAATTTGAATGTGCAGTCTATTTCCTGTTGGGACCCTTGCTGTACATCTTCCCATTAAAGAAAAGATGGTGCTAGTACTACATTATAGAAGATAGCATTAGACACATGAAAAGTGAATTTGATATGTTTCAATTATTGGGGAAAGTAAATCTTGGCATTGTCATCTTTTCCAATCAAACATTGTTGGAGGAGATAGGGGCATGAGGGAAAGACGAGAGAAGCTGTAATGGATACAATACCATTAAAGTTTCTTCGGCTTATCTTCCATTTATGCTTCTAGCACTACTGAAATTGATTATTTGCTTTCAGGCTTGTACGTGTATTTTTGTCTTCAAATTGAGTTGTTTTGCCTAAAGCCTTAAAATCTGTTTTCATATTAATTAATCAACGTTTTAAAATTAGATTTCTATCTTGTGACTTTTTAGGGGTATGCTTAGAGAGATAACATGATTTTATATTTAATGCAATCCATATGTTTCAAAACAATTCATTTCCACAATTGCACAACAGAGAATGTGAGTTTTTACAATCAATTTCATCATTAATAAGGTAAGGCGATAAATAGGCGTAAACTGTGCGAGACTCTGTCTAAAATTAGTTATTTCCTGAAGTGTAATTCAGTAGATCACCTCGTTTAAGATCACTCATGACCACAAACAACAATGCAAGAGGTTCTCAGAAGCAAAATAAATGTTTTCATACTTACGTTTTAAACTTTGTGTGACATGACTTTACCTTTTATGTTTTGGCTCCTGATGTCCTTGGAAATGGGTTTGCCCACCTGTACAAGACAACATGCACCATTATATCTTCAGTTGTGACTCTGTGACCATCTCTGATCTTGACTCTGTGGTTAGGTTCCCAAGGATAAAGCCATAAGTCCCTGAACTCTCTGGTTTTCAATGTATGGTTGGCTGTCAGCAAACATGTATAAATACATGCACCTCTGCCAATGAAAGGTGCAGTGGCCTGAGTGGTGTTTGGTATAAAAACACATGGGGTTGAGAACAAATCCTGCCTCTATTGCTGGCTTTGTAAAAGGCATTGAGTATAGTATGAACTTCAGATTTTTCATCTTTATCACAGGAAAAATGCTCATCATTCACATCTCTGAGTTAACATGAAGATCCATCTATGGGGTCAGGTACATGAAAGCAATGAGGCGGGCAGGTCAGAGTATGGCCTTGTGAGAAGGGCCGGGTTAGGATTCCACCTCCAGCTCCTGCCGACTGTGAGAACATGGCAAATTACTTAGCCTTCTGAGGCTCAGTTTCCTCATCTGTGAAATGGAGGTAACAAAAGCACTGATACCTTTTTGAGGATGGGAGGATAACACAGAACACACCATGCAATGTGCCAAGAACACACGAACCACACTGAATAAATGTGCAGCTATTAATATTATTAAAGACATAGTGAGCTATTAATATTATTAAAGACATTAGTAAACTATTAATATTATTAAAGACATGAGTGAACTATTAATATTATTAAAGACATGAGTGAACTATTAAGGGTACACAATGGGAAGACGTAAGGGTGAAGAAGATGAAGATCATAAAGGGTTCCCTATGTCTTTGAAAACCTTTAAGCCCAGGTTAACATTAGGCTGCTAGTATTAGTCTTGATTGGCACCAGGCTGAGTTGGGCATGGTGGGTCAGGGGTTCATTGAATGCCCTGTCACCTCTTATCCTCTGTGGAACATTGAACCACAGTATTTTTGCCTGGAAAGGGCATGGCCCTTCTTCTTTGGGTTGTATCTAGTCAGGGTTGAGTACTGCTTGGATTTTTTAATCGTGGCTGTTGTCTTCTTCACTGCACCATTTGCTTCCAATGTCTCCAGGGTTACCTTATGGCGACTGAGGTGCTGGAGGGTGTTTTCAGTGTTCTCGTTGCACCCTCATCTTTTAGTCTTCCCTGCATGCCTGCTCCATGGAGGGAGTCTCTCTCTCAGTGCCATGCCCCGCCCTGCATTGCTAGCCTGGTCACGCAGACAGGAGATGTTCCCCCGTTGTCCCCCTCGCAGGTGGGACTTGCATGCTCAGGGTCTTAGGATGGGGCTCCACGCAGTCCCAAGCAGCAGTATTACTAGAGAATTCCCAGGCCCAGGAATATTTCCTGCCCCACTCCTGGGGAGAGTTCCAATTTCTATGAAATACATATTTACTAGTGCTTACTATGTGGCCGTAGCAATGCTAGACTGTTTGGGAACAAAGAGAAATAAGAGCTTGGATTCACAGGTGCATTATAACGGATTTTTCAGTTTGGGTACTATTGAGAATTGGGGGTCAGATCATTCTTGTGCCTTGTAGGATGCTTAGTAACATCCCTGTCTTCTCCCACTAGATGTCAGTAGCACTCAGTCATGACAACCAAAAATGTCACCGGACTTTGTCAAAAGTCCCTAGGGGGGCGAAAACATTCCACCGAGTACCACTGATCACAATGCAACATGTGCTACCGCACTGCACGGCTTCTTTCGTAAGACCCCTCCAAAGGCGCTGGTGTGCTCAGCTCCATCTGAGCACTTCCTAGAACATGGAAACTGCCCATCTGGGTCACTGCCTCCTCCCTTAGACTGTGGGCAGCAGTTCGCCTTTCTACCCTCATTGCTAAACACAGTGCTTGGTACACAGTACATGCTCAATAAATAGAAGGATGAGCAGTGGTTTAGGGTAAGACAGTTGTAACCCATCTGAGAGGTCTAAATAAGAACTGGCTTATATAAAAATTATTGAAGATCCATTTCATTTTTTCTTTTTTTTCCCTTTGAGGCAGGGTCTCACTCTGTTGCTCAGGCTGGAGTTCACTCTGTCATCCAGGCTGGAGTGCAGTGGCACGATTTCAGTTCATTGCAGCCTTGACCTCCTGGGCTCAAGTGATCCTCCCACTTCAGCCTCCCAAGTAGCTGGGACTACAGGCATGCATCACTATGCCCAGCTAACTTTTGTACTTTTTGTAGAGAGGGGGTTTCACCATGTCACCCAAGCTGGTCTTGAACTCCTGGGCTGAAGCAATCCGCCTGCCTCGGCCTACCAAAACATGGGGACTGCACGTGTGAGCCATCACACCGGGCTGAAGATACATTTTGCAGATAGTTTAATCACAACAAAAATGTGCAGAACTAGTAATAACCAACTCCTAGGAATGAGATTGCCACAAAAAAGATAATCTGCTTGGCATACATACTTGACATTTACAACACGGATTACAAAAGTAGAACAGTCCCCGCTTTTGTTTTGTTTTATGTTCTGTCACTCAAGACTGAGTGAAGTAGCAGAATCACAGCCCACTGCAGCCTCAACCTCCCAGGCTCAGGGGACCCTCCCACCTCAGCCCCCAGAGTAGCTGGGACTACAGGCATGCTCCACCATGTCCAGCTATTTTTTTTTTTTTCTTGTTTTTAAAGAGACGAGGTGTTACCATGTTACTCAGGCTGGTTTTGATTGAGCTCCTGGGCTCAAGCAATTTACCTGTCTCAGCCTCCCAAAATGTTGGGATTACAGGCATGAACCACTGCACCTGGCTAAAACTCCCTCTTTATCTGAATTGAGCCCAGACACTTGTTGAATTTGTGAGACAATGCCCCTCCAAAATCTTGCTCACCTTGCCCTAGCCTTTTTCCTCACATGATTTCACATCACTTAATGTACTGAGATTGCAGTTCCACCTACAAAGTGATCTAACCAAAGGAAGAAACTTGTTTTTAACAGGAAACTGCAAAGATGATACAAAGGAACAGAAAGTAAGGATAAAGGCTTAAATCCTGGCATGGTTGTTTTTGAAAAAATCAAATGAGAATTATCCTTTGTAAAAAAGTAATTCTACTCATGAAGGCTTACTTATGTAAAAAGGGATTTTCAGTCATTTTCAGGGAAGGTTCAGCTCAACTTTTGGTTCAGTGTTCCCTCCTTCTTCAGCCACTGGTCCATTCTCTCTGGAATTCTCATTCCCTGACAGTGTTTTATGCTCTGGTGATGAGTATCCTCTCAGACAGCCCCTGGGGGACTGCCCTAGATGCAGATCTTGAGGATAGTAGCAAAAAATAGCAGGAAAGTAGAAGGATTTTGAAGGCCAGACTAAGAAAGTTTTCTTCGTGAACAGAAGTTGAACTGGGAAGGACTCTGTCTCTTTTCTTATTAAACAGGTATTTATTTTTAAAGCTTGAGTTCAAATGATTGAAAGTTTGTTATTTTTTCATTCATTTAACCAGCATCTATTGAGAACCTCTTACAAAGGCACTGTGCTAGGTGCTGGGGCTAAAATAGCACCTGACCTCATACAGATGTCCTCTATGGACTGATTGCTTTGTGCATCAGGCTGGAAGTACAAAGAGCCATTTATGGGATCCTACTGAAGTTCCATTTCCTTTCTTCCCCTTTCCCTTCTTTTTTTTTTTTTTTTTTCTGAGATGGAGTTTCACTCTTGTTACCCAGGCTGGAGTGCAATGGCGCGATCTCGGCTCACCGCAACCTCCGCCTCCTGGGTTCAAGCAATTCTCCTGCCTCAGCCTCCTGAGTAGCTGGGATTACAGGCACGCGCCACCATGCCCAGCTAATTTTTTTTTTTTTTTTGTATTTTTAGTAGAGATGGGGTTTCACCATGTTGACCAGGATGGTCTCGATCTCTTGACCTTGTGATCCACCCACCTCGGCCTCCCAAAGTGCTGGGATTACAGGCTTGAGCCACCGTGCCTGGCCCTTTCCTTCTTTTCTTGACAGGATCTTACTCAGGCTGAAGTGCAGTGGTGCGATGTCAGCTCACCGCAGCCTCGAACTCCCAGGCTCAAGTGATCCTCTCACCTCAGCCTTTGTGCTGGAAGCACGTAGAAATACTGTGTTTTCTATGTATTTCTGTAACAGTGATGGGATTTTATAGGTACGAACATGAAGTCTCAAAGAGGGTAACAGGTCCAAAGGCACAGGGCTTATAAAATTGGAGCCATTAAAATGAGAGTGATGATTTTGCAAGATTGTTGTGTTTTATTTTTATTTTTATTTTTAGATTAAGTCTCACTCTGTTGCCGAGGCTGGAGTGCAGTGGTGCAATTTTGGTTTACTGCAACCTCTGCCTCCCTGTTTCAAGTGATTCTCCTGCCTCAGCCTCCTGAGTAGTTGGGACTACAGGCACCTGCCACCACCCTGGCTAATTTTTGTATTTTTAGTAGAGACGGAGTTTCACCATATTGTCCAGGGTGTTCTCAAACTACTGAATTTTTGATCCACCTGCTTCGGCTTTTCAAAGTGCTGGGATTACAGGAATGAGCCACCGCTCCTGGTGCAAGATTGTTTTAAGGATTAAATGTCATTCATTCTTTCAGTCCAACCTCTACTGAGAATTTTTTTCCTTGACCTCCCTTATCCCATATTATCATTATTTTTCAAAGCACATTTGCTTATATATTGTTTAGTGTGTATTTATTTATTATTGATCTCTTACCAGTAGCATATATGTTTCTTGAGAGCAGGGAATTGGTCCTTCACGGATGTGTCTTTAGAGCAGGCATCCCCAAACTACGGCCCCCTGAGGTCATTTATCCGGCCCCCCGCCGCACTTCAGGAAGGGGCACCTCTTTCATTGGTGGTCAGTGAGAGGAGCACAGTATGTGGCGGCCCTCCAATGGTCTGAGGGACAGTGAACTGGCCCCCTGTGTAAAAAGTTTGGGGATGCCTGCTTTAGAGTCTATAATTGTGTCTGATCCTAGCAGGCATTGATAACATAGTTCTTTTTTTTTTTTTTTTTTGAGACGGAGTTTCGCTCTTGTTACCCAGGTTGGAGTGCAATGGCGCGATCTCGGCTCACCGCAACCTCCGCCTCCTGGGTTCAGGCAATTCTCCTGTCTCAGCCTCCTGAGTAGCTGGGATTACAGGCACGCACCACTATGCCCAGCTAATTTTTTGTATTTTTAGTAGAGACGGGGTTTCACCATGTTGACCAGGATGGTCTCGATCTCTTGACCTCGTGATCCACCCGCCTCGGCCTCCCAAAGTGCTGGGATTACAGGCTTGAGCCACCGCGCCCGGCCATGATAACATAGTTCTTAAATGAATTTGTTGAGTGAATGATTGAAGTGTTTTTCCATCATTGCTGTGCCTGTGTGAAAAGGAATGTTTGATTTTTCATCACTCATCTTGCCCCCTCAATCTCTATCAGATATCTTCTGTGTAAACGGTCGGTCTTGCTTGGTAAAATTTGTAGTTTCATTTTTCTGTCCAAATTAACAGAATTCCTCAAGTTAAACAGGCAATGTGAATATGTAACACGTGAGGAATATTTGAAAGCACTTTAATACTCACTCATAACTTTAGTACAAACTAAAAAAAATAGTAAAATCTCTTCTTAAAGAATGCAACTGAAAATATAATGGCCAGTTTTGATGATATTTCTAAGGGGGTGTACATTCTTATATAGGGTTTCTGGAAGGGTAAATGGAAATAATTTTTTAGAAAGGAAATTTTACAATATTTAAAAGCCTATAAAATGTCTTCACTCAGTGGTTTAGTAAAATAATTTGAAAATCCCATAATGGGTTATGCTTTATCTATAAAAATGATGCTTATGAATGCTTGCTTATCACATAGGAAATTGTTTTGTAACCAGAACTTAATGTGAGTAGAAAAATAAAGCAGGTATATACAAAACAATATACAACAAACTTCCCTTGTATGACAGACATCTGCATAGAAAATAATGACAATGAAGAGCACCACAATGTTGTGACCGATAACTGCAATCCCGGGGCGATCATTTATATTTTATGCATTTCTCTATTAAGATAATTAAATGTTGGCTGGGCATGATGGCTCACGCCTGTAATCCCAACACTTTGGGAGGTTGAGGAGGGTGGATCATGAGGTCAGGAGTTTAAGATCAGCCTGACCAAGATGGTGAAACCCATCTCTACTAAAAATACAAAAATTAGCCGGGCTGGATGGTGGGAGCCTGTAATCCTAGCTACTCAGGAGACTGAGGCAGAGAATTGCTTGAACCCAGGAGGCAGAGGTTGCAGTGAGCTGATGTTGCACCACTGCATTCCAGCCTGGGTGACAGAGAGATTCCATCTCAAAAAAAAAAAAAAAAAAAAAAAAAAAAAAAGAAAGAAAATTGAGTGTTAGCAAATGTTTTATTAAAAATAAAATTCTATGTATTCATTTATGGTATTTGCCTTTACTAGATTATTATTATTTTTTTTGGAGACACAGTCTCTGTCACTCAGGCTGGAGTACAGTGGTGCAAAATTATCTTTCATAGCTTTCAAACAGCATTTTGAAATAAGTATGGTAGGATTTTCTGTTTTTCCCTGTTTGGTAGATAAAGTTACAAGGAGGCTTAAAGAGGTTTCATGACTTACTTTTACCTCCCAGCTCATAATTCACCACGTTGGGCTGAGACTTTGGGCAAAATCTTATATTATGATCAGAAAGATTTGAGTTCATGTTCTTTCTCTGGAGAATGCAATGAACATTAGATGAGATGCATGTGAATGTCCTTAGCTTGCTCTCTGGCTCACAGTGTTCAACACATCTGAATTCTCCTCCCTTCTAGAGGTAGAGCCATGATGCTACCAGTCATAAAGTCACCTCTTGTCCACCTCAGTGAGCTCGACCTGCTCTTTCCCTAATGAGATTGCCTGAGGGACAGGAGATGGGGCAGTTTCTGGCTGTTTAGGAAGAGCCCTACACGTGTTTGGGTCACAAAGTCTAGCCTTTACTCACTCTTTCCAACTTCATCTGTGTGTTCCAGGCTTGCTGTCCAATGGGGATAGAGGTCCTGGTGTCTAATGGAAGGGAAGTGTCCATTGCACCCTTGAAATAGCGTGTATCTGTGCAAACAGAAAAATATTAAAGTCATACCTTATGTGGACTCTGCACACTACAATTTACAAAATATCTGCACATCTACAAACTCATTGGATCATCACAACGAGCAGGGATCATGCATTGTTTGTCTTTGTGTGCCCTGATCCATCCTAACATGGAAACTAGCACATAGTGATGCTCAATGAATGCTTATTGAATGAATGAACAAAAAAATGTCATCATCATTTACAAGATGATTTTCTCCAGATACACTTCAATAGATTTATTTTAGTGGTTCAGGCCCTCAGAAATTGTGAATGCTTCTTCTTTTCCCTTACAATAGGGTGTTTTATCTCAAGGAACTTGCTGAAGCTGCCCTATGTGCTGCAGTTAGAGACAGAGGCAGGTGTGAAATTAGGTCCTCTTTATTCTTAACAATTGCAGCTTTGCTGTCATGCCCTGCTGATGCTTGTAGGCTGGCTGGCTGCAAAATGAATTAACCAAGTTAAAAAGTCTTTTTTTTTTTTTTTTTTTTTTTTAATTCTACTGCCTTCTATGCAGACCTCACCTTCACATTTCCCACGCTGCCCCATCCCTGCCTGTCCACCCTCTGTTAGGCTCATCAGATGTTCCTAGGGCCGAAGGAAAGCATCACGATAACAGTGGCTGAGAGTTACAGATCTCTGGCTTGGTACCAGGTCCTCTGGTGAGAACTCAACATGCATCATTCATCTAATCTTCAAAAGAGCTCTCTAGGGTGAATTCTATTATTATGAATCCTATTTTCAGATACAGAAAGTGAATTTGAGAGACTTTCTCAAGGTCACACAGCTAGTAAGTCATGGGGGCAGATGTTAACCTAGGGTTGTTTAATTCAGAAATTGCACCTTTAAATAGTGTGCAATATGGCAGCAGGTATATGCATCTTCATATTTTAGGCAGACGCCCAAACATTACCTGCATATTCAGATTCCTTTATAGGGCGGGCAGGTAAAATTTTAATCGACTGCCACGTCTCTTCCATCTGAAGCTCAGGGTCTTCATAGTCATCATTACTGTGGCTTTTTGCTCCATCCAGGACTGCGGGAAAGTTTCTTTCCTAAACAGGTGGTAACATTCCAGTGAGTCAAAGGAAGGTACCATGTTGACAAAAAAAGACTGCAGTGCTGGTTACCGGAGTGGGGTAGATTTTCTTACCTGCAAATTAAATATTTAAGAGTCTAGCCTCTGAGGTCTTAAATGGAAGTTTTATTCTTGTGCTAGCGAGAAATCTAGAGATCTCCCAATATTTCCATCTCTGATTACTTAGTCAATACTAATCTAGGTACTGCTGTGAAGGGACAATGCAGATGTAATAGAGGTCACTGATCAGCTGACTTTAAAACAGGGGGATTATCCTGGATTACCTCGGTGGGCCCAATGTGATCACATGAGCCCTTAGAAGCAGAAGGAGGATGTATTTGCAAATAAGATAATCTCATATTTAAAGAATTCACTAAAAAATTATTGGAACTAATAAACAATTCCTCAAGGTGTCAGGATATATGATTAATGTATCAAATTCAGTTGTATTCCTATATACTAGTAATGAAAATTCATATTTCTATAAATTAGTGCTAACAAATTGAAGATAGAAAGAAAATGGGCTAGGTGCAGTGGCTCATGCTTATGATCCCAGTGCTTTGGGAGGCCAAGGTAGGAGGATTGCTTGACACTAGGAGTTTGAGAACAGCCTGGGCAACAGAGTGAGACCTCATCTGCACAAAAATGTTTGAAAAAGGAAAATGATTATATTAGCAATAGCATCAAGGAGAATAAAATATATAGAAATAAATTTAACAAAAGAAGTGTAGAACTTGTACACTGAAAAGTGCAAAACACTGTTGACAGTAATTTAAGAAGACCTAAATAATAGAAAGACAGCCAATGATTATGGATTGGGAGACTTAACATTGTTCAAATAGAAATATTTTGAAAATTGATATACTGATTTTTTTTTGTTGTTGTTGCAAACATTGACAAGATAATCCTAAAATTCTTATGAAAATAAGAAGAACCAAGAATAGCCAAAACAATCTTGAGCAAAAAAAAAGATAAAGTTGGAGGATACTTATTTCAAAAGCTACTACATAGATGCAGTAATCAAGACAATGTGGTATTAGCAGTAAGACAGACATGTAGATCATTGGAATATAATTCAGAGTCCAGAACTAAACCTTCATGCTGAGGGTTAATTGATTTTTAAGTGTGTGCTAAGACAATTCACTGGGTGGGAAGAATAGTCTTTTAACAGATAGTCCCAGGACAACTGTATATTCACATGCATGATGGTGAAGTTGAACCTCTTTTATATCATATGCAAAAATTAAATACAAATGGGCCATGCATATAAATTTAACAGTTAAACCTATAAAACTCTTAAAATATTGGAGTAAATCTTCATTTCTTGGCTTAGGCAATGGTTTCTTGGAATGAAAAATACAAGCAATAAAAGAAATATATAAATTTAACTTAATTAATATGAATATCTTGTGTACTTCAAAAGACCACAAAAAATAAAAAAGCAACTACAGAATGAAGAAAATATTTGCAAATCATGTATCTGATAAGGAGCTTAAATCCAAAATATATGAAAAACTCTTACAACTTAATGATTTAAAGACAAATAGCCAAATTTTAAAGTAGCTAAAGGATCTGAATGGATGTTTCTTCATGGAAGATATACAAATCATCAATAATCCCATGGAGAAATGCTCAGTATTATTACTAAAATGCAAATCGGCTGAGCACCAGTGGCTCACACCTGTAATCCCAGCACGTTGACAGGCTGAGGCAGGTGGATCAGGAGGTCAGGAAATTGAGAGCATCCTGGGCAACATGGTGAAACCCCGCCTCTACTAAAAATACAAAAAAATTAGCTGGGCATGGTGGTGTGTGCCTGTAGTCCCAGCTATTTGGGAGCCTGAGGCAGGAGAATAGCTTGAACTCAGGAGGTGGAGGTTGCAGCGAACTGAGATCATGCCACTGTACTCCAGCCTGGCAACAGTGAGACTCCATCTTAAAAAAAAAAATGCAAATCAAAAGCACAATGAGATGTCAGCCTTACACCAACAAGATGACTTTTAAAAAGGTAATAATAAGGACTGACAATAATGTGGAGAATTTGGGACTCTCATGCATTGCTGATGGGAATGTAATAGGTTGCAGCTACTGTGGAAAACACTTTGGCATTTCCTTAAAAGGTTAAACACAGAGCTACTATATAATCCAGCAATTCCACATTCACACAAAAACTAGCACATGTTTATAGCAGTGTTATTCTTAATAGTAGAAGAGTAGAAATAACCCAAATGTCCATGGACTGCCGAATAGGTAAATAAAGTGTTATATAGTCACACAATGGAATATTATTCAGCAACGAAAAGGAATAAAGTACTGATATAGGCTATAACATGGATAAGCCTTGACAATATTACGCTAAATGAAAGAAGGTAGTCATATACAAAACAGAATGTTGCATGATTCTGTTTATATGAAATATCCAGAAGAGGAGGACCTATAAATAAAGAGTAGATTGATATTTGCCAAGGGCTGGGGGAAGGAGAAAACTGGGTTTAATTTTTAGATGATAAAAATGTATTGATTGGAGTAATGGTTATACAGCTCTGTGAATATACTAAGAAGCCATTGAATTGTACTCATAAAATGGGGAAATTGAGTGGTATGTAGATTTTTATCTCAAAAAAAGCTGCTTTAAAAAGCAGAAGAGGAAGTCAGAGAAAGGAAGTAGAAGAGAAAGAAAGAGTGATCTGGGAGGATAATTTACAGAGAATTCAACAGTAGAAGGATTTGACAACAGTCAGCCAGCAGGGCATGGGGACCACAGTCCTACAACAGAAAGGAACTGGATGCTATGGAAACAAGAGCCTCTTCTGAGCCCCTGGAGGAGGATGTAGCCCTGCCAGCATGTTGCTTTCAGACTTGTGAGACCCAGAACAGGGGCGCTAGTTGAGACCTGCTGTGGCCAGGCTTCTGATTGCATCCACCATGCAACAATAAATGGTCAAGCTGCCAAATCTGTGGGGAAGTGTCACGGCAGCAACTGAAAACTAATGCAATTATTTGGATCTTTATCATTAAGGATGAGCCTCAAGAAGTGACACCACTCTCTGTATGTTGTTCTAAAACATAACACTATCACAATAAAAGCAACTGCAAGGTGAAATTTTGTGCTAAAACTGGTACCATCATTTTTGAAATTCTAATTGATTCAACCAAGTTTAGGTGTGAGAATTTAGGTAAAATGTATAGTTGAGAAAATTCCATGGGTTCATATCCCCCCAGCAGCCCCGTCCCCAAACGAATTGGCCAAGACTGCCATTTTTTGTCATTTTTCCGTTTTGGAAATGGAGCCAGGACACCAGGTTACAGACTGTTGGTATTTACAACATTTGAGGTGGAGTAAGCGTCATTGGACTAAAGTCTTCATTTGACTGAAGTGTTCACTTTGCTGCCTTGGAGATGTACCTTCACCCTGAAGCTTTGTTTTTTTCATCTGTAAAATGGGATTCCTACATATCTGTACTGTTAATAAGAACAGGTGCCATAAAAGATGGCCTCAACCATTTCTCTCTAACCTTAGTTTTTGCTTTGGTTATTGTTATAGACTAAATGTTTCTCTACCCCCACCCCATCCCCTACTGCTCACACACTATTTGTCTGTTGAAGTCCTAATCATCAGTGTGGCTATCTGTGAAGATGTTACCTCTAAAAAAGTAATTCAGGTTAAATGAGGTCATAAGGGTGGAGTTCTTATCTGATAGGATTAGTGTTCTTTTAAGAAGAGACACCAGAGGAGGATTCTCTCTCTCTCTCTCCCTCTCTCTCTCTCTCGGTTTCTCTCTCTCTCTCTCTCTCTCTCTCTCTTTCTCTCTCTCTCTCCCCACGGCTCCCCAAATGCACACACTGAGGAAAGGCCATGTGAGCACACAGGGAGAGGGTAGTCATTTGCATCATAAGGAGATAGTTCTCGATAACCATGCTGGCACTTTGATCTTGGACTTCTGGTCTTCAGAGTCATGAGAAAATAAACCTCTGTTGCTTGAGCCATCCAGATAATGGCACTTTGTGATGGCAACACTAGAAGACTAACACAGGTACTCATCAAAGGCTCTGGGTCTGAACACTAGACTGGCAGGAATGGACACCAGTCCCCAGCAGATGCACTCAGATGCAATGGTCATCATAGGAATTCTGGAATGTGTACCTCTGCATTAAAATCTGCAGCCGGCATTGTGTTTGTGTAAGCAGGGACACAACTCTTGATCTTGAATTCTTTCATCACCATGTGGAGCCACTGAGCAATTGTTTTGCCTCCCTGCATCTCAGAATGCTCACCTCTTGCCTCATTTGCAAAACTGTGTTTAGTTTTCATTTGGGCCTGAGAGTGAAATCCAGGTGCTACAATGTGAAGCTTTGTAAGATTTAAGCAGCATCATGTTATGCCAAGAGCTCAAAAGGACGAAAAGAAACATATTTTCATGCACATTCCCCGATTTGGCCCTCAAAACTGAAATTCTATCCTCCTTTTACAAATATAGAAACTAGAACTGGTAACTTTCCAAAGTCACAAAGATCACAGATGTGATAGGTGGGCCCAAACAACTCTTCCCTTCACATCCCCACTGGAACTCAGCACAAGGAATTAAAATTTGTTCTACATGGCTGGGTGTGGCGGCTAACACCTATAGTCCCAGCACTTTGGGAGACTGAGGCGGGTGGACCACTTGAGTTCCGGAGTTCAAGACCAGCCTGGACTACACGGCAAAACCCAGTCTCTACTAAAAATACAAAAATTAGCCAGACATGGTGGCTTGTGCTGTAATTCTAGCCACAAAGGAGTTGAGGCATGAGAATTGCTGGATCCCAGGAAGTGGAGTTTGCAGTGAGCTGAGATCACGCTACTGCACTCCAGCCTGGGTAAGAGGGTGAGGCTCTGTCTCTAAAAAATTAAAAATAAATAAATAAATAAAATTTGTTTTGCACCTCAAAAATAAAGAGCAGAGAATTCAAAACATTCTAGGTGTTGCAGCATCTATAATTTTGACTTCTGTCCAAATAGTGTTGTCTTAGTTCATGTCTGTTCTTATAACAGAATATAAGACTGGTTAATTCATTTAAAAATCAATTTATTTCTGACAGCTCTGGAGGCTGGGAAGTCCAAGGTTGAGAGGCCACATCTGGTGAGTGCCATCGTACTATATCATAGCACGGCCCAGAGCATCACATGCTAAGTGGGTGAGGGCTGGCTCAGGTCTCTCTTTTCTTATAAAGTCACCAGTCCCATCATGGGGGATCCTAACAGGTGACCTTATCTAAATCTAATTACTGCCCAAAGGCCCTGGCTCCACTCTATCAACAAACGAATTTGGGGACTATGTTTCCAACAGATGTTCAATGTTACTTACCTAGTATTATAAAATTGCTCGCAAGAAAGTTTATTTCAATTTAAAATTTTCCCATGAGTGTTAGGAAGTGCGTTTCTCATAATGCACTTGCCGGCACAGTATGTTGGTATTTCCACTTTATCAGCCTTCACAATGACCATGTTAATTAATTTTTATTTCCATTTTATAGCTGAGGAATTGAAATATAATTTTATAACCAAGAATTAAAATGTAGTTTTTCTTGCCAGGAAAGTATGCCACTTGGAAAATTTATTATTGTTATTATTTTGTTGTTGTCGTTGCTGTTGATTTTTAAAAATTTTACCAAGTACCTTGAAAAAAATCCATCTACTTTGCAAATATTAAAGACTGAGAAAATAGATAAGCGAAGCAGCTCACTTACCCAGTTGGGGAGAGGCTTGTTAATCCTCTGGTACTGGCCTGCCAACACAAGCAGATCGAGTGTTATTTTAATCACTGTGGTAGCTCCAAACATCAAAGAGACTGGGCCCACTTTTTCTCCAGAAATGTTTTGTCAGTTTTAATTAACTTAACCTTGATTATAATTTTTCAAAACTAAAGTGCGTTTTTCTTTATTTCCCATTCTACCTGTTACTCTTGTAAAACAGGGACAATGAAAAGGGAGAAAAGAAAATCGAATCAAATTCAGATCAAACAGTGACCTGGAGGTAAGAAACCTCACCGCTACTGCAGCAGGTCAAAATTCCCATTGCTGAGAAACAGAATGTTAGAAGACCTCTCATATCAGTTGCTCTCAGAGTCCATGAGTCAGCAGCAGCTCAGCTAATGATGAGGTTTATTTTTCCCTTCTCTTTCCCCACAAGGCACACACAGCATGTTGCAATTGCGATAATCTGTCCATACATCTGTCTCCTTAAATAGACTTTAAGTATTTTGAGGACAGGAGACATAGCTACTCACTCATTCATTCCTAGCAGCAGGCACAAGACCCCCTATTGAACAACTGAGTTATAGACCAGGTGTTTGTTGAATGAAAACACAGTAGTTGCCTTTTTTCAGCACTCGACACTCTTAACTGGGATTGTTTTCTGGAAGGTTGCCTGGGGTCATTCAGCCCAGGAAGTATTCTGTGTTTAAAACTTTAACCTCAGATTATTCAAAACCACTGCAGAATTTTTTGTTCTTTATAAATTTTATTTTCCTAAATTGCATTGTAGTTTCCTGCTATTAGCCTGCATCAGCGAGCATTAGAAACAGATATTTTTTTTTTTTAAAAATTGTTTCTTTTAATCAAATTCTCTTTATTAGCGCATACGTGAGAAGTTCCTTTCAGGTCTCAGGAGCAGAAGCTGCACGCTTCTTAGCAACTGGTTTGCTTTGATTTAAGGATATTTCCCTTCTTCCTTTGGCTGCTGAGAAATTCAGGATAAATTTTTGAATGTGATCTAAGTATTGCAGAGGACCATGATGTGATAAGCATTTCTACATCTTGTTCTGGCTTTATTATTTTCTTTTTGAGACAGAGTCTCATTCTGTCACCTAAGCTGGAGTGCAGCGGTGTGATCTCAGCTCACTGCAACCTCCGTTTCCTGGGTTCAAGCGATTCTCATGCCTTAGCCTCCTGGGTAGCTGGGATTACAGAAAGATACCACCACGCCTGGCCAATTTTTGTATTTTTAGTAGAAACGGCGTTTCACTATGTTAGCCAGGTTGCTCTGGAACTCCTGACTTCAGTTGATCTGCCCACATTGGCCTCCCAAAGTGCTGGGATTACAGGCATGAGCCACTGTGCCTGACCTATCATTTTCTTAAACTTTTGTTCTTTCACTCTAAATTCCCTTATGTTACCAAAATATGAAATAAAGAGTTGTTAATTGTATCAGCATGCCCAAGTCTTTTCTAAGGTGTAATGTACAAATTAATGCAAGTTTGGCTCAGTGGAAACACAGTTCTGGAATTTGCCTAAGACCAGTACATACAAGGAGTGTTAATGAGACAGAGCTAATCTCCTTGAAATAATGAGCCTGGAGGAACAGAATCCTGCCTGCACCTGCCCTCGGACCCAGCCCATCCTTGTGGTTGGATAGCAGCTCTGGGGCGCTGATGACACCTTCCTGACCCAGCACAATTACATCCCCACTGAGATCCCCGGCAGAGAAACCAACACATTTTCCAGCCCTTTAGAGCAGCAATTTGTACTCTCTCATGAATCGAGTTAAATTAATAAGGTCACTCATTAAAGACCAGCTGGACCGGAAGGAGCAAATGCGCTCAGAATTATTGGGGATCTGTTCTGGCCCTGGTTATCCAGGAAAACAATGCCACTGTCTAATTCAGGGTTCAATATAATTTCATTTTAGGAAATTGGCCTCAAGGAGTGCAGTCATGATGCTGATGTCTTCTCGGGGAGCTGCGGAGTCTCTTTTCTCACCGGAGGCGAGCGTCCCAGCCTGAGACTCTCCCGGATTCCCCAAACATGCTTCATGCCCCTTCTGTGTCTGCTGGTGTAGACCGTGCCTGGAGCCTCTTCTCCCTCTCACTTCCCCTTTGCCTCCCAGATGCTCATATTCCTTTCAGATCCAATTTCCCTGCTTTTCTCTCTGACTACTCCAGGCCTCATCAATCTCATTGAATTGTTAAAGCATGTATTTTCTGTCTTACTCACCATGACCCTGAAATACAAATAGGCAGGATCTGATTACTTCTTTCTTGTGTGTTCTTTAGGAAAGGAATTATCATTCTCTCTCAGTCTCCTAGAGTACCTATCTGTGCCATCAGTGCCGAGTTTTGGAAATGCTATCTTAAAGCATGGTCCTGACACTGTGCATCAGTTCATGTCACTCGTTGCCCGTGTCCTACTGCCCAGGTGCCCTGTGTGGCCCCCAGACCTCAGCATGACTTTCCTCCACCCTGCTCTCTGATCTCATCCCTTTCCTGCGTCTTCTCTCCTGGACCAAACTGTAGTCAGGCTCCTGTGAACTCTCTTCTCTATGAGGCCCTACCTTGTGGGATTCCGCATTCATCTCTGCATTGTCCAATTTTTGCATGACTCCTGCTAAGTCAGTTTAGTCAGAATCTCCCATTCTCCATGCTTGGTCACCCTCCACATCTCATCTAATCAGGGCCCTCCTCTGCCACCTTCCTTCCATGATGATGTCTGATCACTCTGGCCTGCCTTCAGCAAGCATCCTTTCAGGTTAGTTTAGCCAGAATCCACCTCTGCCCCACCCTTGTAAAAGGGAACCATGAAATGATAAGCATTTCTACATCTTCTTCTGGCTTTATTCTTTTTGTTTTTGTTTTTGTTTTTTTTTTTTTTTAACAAAAGTTTTTCTCTTTGTAATTTTCCTTTCCCAGACCCTCTCCCTGCTCCCTTGGCTATAAATTTCCACTTGTACTTACTGTATTTTGAGTTGAGCCCAATCTCTCCCGTATTGCAAATGCTCATTATGGTAATGCCTGTAGCTATCTCCATCATCTGGAATAAAGCCAGTCTCACTATTCTGTAATAATAATCATGAAACTCTTCCTCTACCTCTCTCTCACCTCCGACTTCAGCGGCTTCAACCTCTCAAGCGATTCTCACATCTCAGCCACCCGAGCAGCTGGGATTACAGGAGGGCACCACCATGCCCAGCTAATCTTTGTATTTTTAGTAGAAACGGGGTTTCACGACATTGGCCAGGCTTCTCTTGAACTCCTGACCTCAAATGATCCACCTGCCTTGGCCTATGAAAGTGCTGGGATTACAAGCATGAGCCACTGCACCCTGCCTACAGTTTTCTTAAACTTTAGTTCTTTCACTCTAAATCCCCTAATCTTATCCCTTGAGTCTCCCAGCACACCCAGCTCATGCTGTTGCAGGAGCTTGCACACACCACCATCCCTCTGTCCACTACCCTCTTTTTTCTTTGGCTCTGCTCATGCGTGGATCTTTATCCACCATCCAACTGTATCTGAAATGTCATCTCTCCTGGAGTGGTCTTCCCTGACCACCGATGTCAGGCAAAAATTAAAAAGCCCCTCTCCAGCCCCGTTCCTCACCACCCCTGGCACCTGGTATGGCGGTGAGAATGTTGCCCACACGTGTGCACTAGGCCGGCCTCCTTTCCCTGTAGTGCTTGGCTGCTGTACGCCTCCCTCCCTACCCTGCATTGGGCAGGCAGGTGGGCATGGTATGGATCTCTCGCCCCTGGGGCGTTGGCTGCGACGGACTCTAGGTTGCCCTACTTGACCTTCCATGCTCTTGTTCTTGCCTTGGTGGCTCGGCAGAGACGCTGAGGCCCATGGGGATGATGGAAGCCATTGGGTAAAAGGGAGGTGAATCAGAATGAGTGTTTGGAAAAAGCCTTCCTTTGATCCATATTGGATTGTGATGTGAGCAAGAAAGAAACCTATATTATATTCCACTAACATTTGTAGTTTATTCATTATAGATGGTAGTCCTCCTTGATTCAGACTTTTTTTTTTTTAAATTTCTCCATAGCATCTAGGAACAAAGTCAACCAGTAAATAATCTCGTTACAGACTGTGGTACCTGCCTTTCCCCAGGCAACGGCAAGACTTCAGGCTCCTTTTGGCTTCTGCAACCCACGTGGAGCAGAGATGGGCATATGGTGAATGCACAATAAATAAATAATCAATTGTCAAATATAGCATGTGGTACAGCAGGAACATGTCAGAGCCGGGAAGCCGCGGCGGGACCTTCCTTCTCCCGCGCTCAGGGAATAGAGCTTTATTCTTCCTCTCGTGGACCCGGATCCCCACCAAAGTGGCTCACCCAAACCCTTCCAGGCCTTTGCATCTTCCTGGACCTGAAAGATAGATTGGCTTCCTAGGGCCATTTTCGAAAAAGAGAAAGAGAGTTTCTTAGTAGATTTTACATCTGCATCCCGGGAGAGTTATGGTTGTGTTGTGTGGATGTGTGGAGGGTCATTCATCACCTACAGACACCAGACAGCTCCAGAAAACAACTGACTTCTGTGTTTCCCTCAAGGAAACATCTTTTCGAAAAAGAAAAAAAAAAGTCCCTTTGAAAGTTATTTTTAAGAGGGAAGTGAAGATGGATATGCACAGTGTAAAGCCCAGGGGGTCTCCTGATAGGCAGAAGGCAATGACTCTAGCCCTTCAGCAGCTCTTCTGCATCTACAGAGGCCCAGCCAAGGATGACAGGGGTGTGTGGCCAATACCCATCCAACTGGGGTCTCCTCACCATTTGCATCGGCCTCAGCTAAAAAAAGTAAGTAAGGCAAAACTTGAGCCCCAGAGCAAACCAGTTCAATCAGTCTGCTTTTCTCCTCAAGCTCTTATGGTGACATTTATCACCCTGAAGTTTTAGAACCGCTAACGTAGAAGCTCCAATTCCCTTCCAGAGGAAGGTAGGCCATTAAGTAAATAGAGACTCTCGGATTATTTTCATTTGGAAACACTTCTGTGAGCTTAAGTCTCTGGAGGTACAG